TATAATTACCATATCACTTATAATAACAATAGTTGAACCATAGAATATTTCTTAGAACACTTATAGCCCCCCAGTGGCACAGCGGTATGTCTGCGGACTTACGACGCTAGAAATCGGGTTTCGATACCCGTGGTGGGCAGAGCACAGATAGCCTATTGTGTAGCTTTGTGCTTAACCACAAGCAAACAATTGAACACTTATACACTTAAAACGATACACACGTAACAAAAAAGTATAATAGAATCTGAATTTCTTGGATGTTAATCTAATCTTCACAATGTTATCGGATGAGTGTAAAAGTCCCCCCCAAAAAAAACTTTCACTAATCATGAGTTTTGGTACAGAAATGTGAAACAAATATAAAACTGTCTACCGATGTTAAGAATTTGGGTGATAACTGAAGCACTAGCCACTACCTTATTGATCTGGTCACTGTACTTTTCCATGTGCAGTCGTTCGTACTCAGTAAAATGTTCTTCTTTCAATTGCTGCCATGCCTGTTCGTTGGGTACGAAAAATGTAAACCTTTTCTTCTTATCCATCAACTTTTCGTTCCAGTTATTCATCAAACTTAATTCATATGTTTCCCTAAAAATAAAGTTATAGTTTTCTAAATCATTTGCTTGACATAGTTAATTTTGAAATGTTCCATTAGATTACGTTTCTAGTTTTCTTTAAATATTTATACAATTAAATAAATTATTTAGACTTGAAAGAACAATCAACTGCAATTCTAATTATCACTTAAGTCTAAACACACTCGTAAAACGACACTTAGTCAAATGAGATTAGAAATTTACAATGTTTTTCTTTTTCACTTCTATTGGTGAGTTAAGTTATACAAAATTATTTCATTACGATTCGGTCAATGATAGTCTTGAAAGTGACTAGCTGCTTTACAGCTATTACGATTTTAAAAAATCACAAAACATATATAAGAAAAATTGACTATCACTACGATGTTTTTTACTTTCCATACTACAAAATAAAGCGACGTCTAGTAGTTACTTTAAATCAGGATCAGCAGCCAACTTCTCATTAATCGCCTGAAATGGCATGCCTAAAACGCGGTCGATTATATGGACGATCCCATTTGTTGCTCCAATATCAGCTTGAACGGCGGTTGCATTGACTCCTGCTCCATCTACCGTCAAGGCTGAAAAAATTAATTTAATATATTTTATTTTAGATTTTTCTAGTATGATAGATCATTGTCAAATTCGTAACATTTCACCAAGAAATATACAAGAATATCTTTTTTTTTTCAATCAAGAAGAAAACAAGTCCCACCCCTCAGTGGCACAGCGGTATGTCTGCGGGCTTACAACGCTAGAAACCGGGTTTCGATACCCGTGGTAGGCAGAGCACAGATAGCCCATTGTGTAGCTTTGTGATTAAATACAAACAAACAAATAATCAATAGATAAAAAGCATCTTTACGGGAAGTAAATTCAGTAAAAAAATACTCATTAGTACAAAAGGAGATAATACAGTGTTCAAGCACTTTCGTTAAATCATGACTAAAGATAACGTTATCAAAGACTACCTAGAATGAAGTTCTACATTACAACGTTATAAGTCACATAAACCACAGCTGGGAAAAATGGCGTCATGTTCAGCTAAGCACTCTTAATTATATATAAACAATAGTTCAAATAAGATATGGAATTTTTTTTTAATTCAGAAATAAGATCCAGCTTACCTTACATCAAAGTTAAACGGATTAATTTTATATAAAAATTAAAAATCCTATAACCCGAGCGCTTTCGAAAGGTGGGAGTTTCTTCATCAGGAGCAATCTGATGAAGAATAGTTCACCTTCTGAAAACTCTCACGTTATAAAAGGTTTTTTATCTTTGTCTTTAACTGATATTTTTAACTTTCGTGTTGTCTTAACATCATGGTTTAAATTTAGAATCTGATGAAGAATAGTTCACCTTCTGAAAACTCTCACGTTATAAAAGGTTTTTTATCTTTGTCTTTAACTGATATTTTTAACTTTCGTGTTGTCTTAACATCATGGTTTAAATTTAGAATTATTATAAACTAACAGAGGCGCAGTTTTTTCAGGTAACATTAATATTGTATCATTCCATGTAAAGAAATATTATGTTTAACGCTACATTTCTAAAAACCTGGTAATTGGTGTTAATTCCTAAACGTTATCCATTAGGACTAGTTGCATTGGCAAATTTCTAACAAGAAAATTTCCGAACTTTTATTTTTGTTATTTCCATTAAGATCAGGTTATTTTTATAAGAAGCAAGTTTTTAGTTGTTTTTTTTCAAAGATTTTCTATTCGCAAAATCTCGAAGGTGATCAGCCCATAATAAAAGTAGTTTGAAGTAGTAGAGACATCGCCAAGATCCAATACAGGTATAAAAGAATCAACTGTGAGTCTGCATGATACATCTTGTTTGTCTGCTATTAAGCCTAAAGCTACACAGCGGACTATCTGTGTTGTGCCAACCGCGAGTATAGAAATCCGAATTTTATCCTCATAAGCCCTCAGATTTACTGCCGAGATGCTAGGAGAGGAGAGGTACATCATGCTAAAGTGTTCGTTTATTTGTTTCTAGGAAAGAATGAATGGAAAATATTTGGAAAAAAGTTAGGCAAAAGAAAGGACGAATGGCTAAATTAAAGACCAAAAGTTAGTATCAAAGTTGGTATTGAAATAGTATCTCATTTATTTATCACCAATTTCAGGTTAATGGAGTTGGTAGCTTCTTTTTTTTTCAGTAATAATGCTGTAAAAAAGTTATAATATTCAAATAGAACCATAATTTACATGAAATTCTCCTACAAATAGAGTGGCCAATTAAACATGTTAAAATCTATTTTTATAATCATCTTGTTTCTAGATGCATTTTTTTTTTGTACACAAAATATCCCCCTTTCTGGGCAAAATGTAAACGTCTGCCGTTTTATTTCGATTCACGGGGCCTGGCATAGCAATCTGTGAGTCGCGGGTTCAAAAACCATTTACAGAATATTCCCACCCTTTCAACCATGTAGACGTTATAAGGAGATGGTTAATCCCACTTTTCGGTGGTAAGAGAGTAGCCCAAGAGTTGGGCTTGAGTGGTGTTGAATAGCTGTCTTTCCTCTAGGGCTCTAGGCTATCACTGTTAAATTAGGGGCGGCTAACGCAGATAGCCCTCCAGTAGCTTTGCGTGAAACTCAAGACAAACAAAACAAAAATTTCTATTGATCCCGTTGACATTAAAACTTGCCAGAAATACCCAAAATATATTTTAATATAAAGCTACAACTCAAACACTAAATTTGATATTGTCTTCCAACAGTCCCCCTTTGAAAGAAGAAAACTCAATGTTGCCTAGACTCAGTAAATTTCGTAAATTACTCCATACAGCAGAGCTTCCCAATGTTTTGACAATCATGAGCCCCACTCTCTCTCTTTTCCTGGTCTTCGTAACCTATATTATATTTACAACAACATATTTCAAAATATTAGCAATATGTTATAACAACAAAAGTAACTTAACTGTCAGGAGATTTACGTGAGTTCCTGTTTATTGTAAAAATGGGAAACTATTAATATTTTACAACCCATCACGATCCTTTTCTCTTGATACCCCCCCCCCGATTCCAAAATGGAACATAATTGATAGGTTGGGAAATCGCTGCTTATTAAAAAAACGTGCGTGTGTGTGTGTGTGTGGAGAATGAAGGGAGATTACAATGCAGATTTTTAAAATTGATTTTAAGAACTCCATTACAGCGATACTTGATAGATTTCAGCCGAAACTAAAACAGAAAAACAAATTATATATATATATATATCTAATGAAACGTACTTGTGTTTCTGCCCTTCCCGACCACGCGGAAGTACAAGTATCGAAGGTGATCTGCAGCTAGGTGTTCCATAATTCTTCCATTTCTTACGTCATCTGTTGACACAGACTTCATTACCATGTGTAGTAGTAGCAACTATTGAAAAAAACAA